CCTCTTCCACTCCTTCTTCTCCTGCAACCTGCTGTGTTTCTCGAAGCCCTTCCTTGGGCTGCTGTTTCTGCCGTGGGTCAACCTCCCTACAGCACACATCGCTCCCCCAAGTTCACCAAAAAAGCTGAGCATGTGGAGCCGAGCCCCTTCTGGAATGGTTCACGCTCTCAGCTGAGCACCATCTCCCCAGCTGAGTGAGCTTTCTGCCCATCGCAGCGGTGCCACTGCCCTGCGGGGCTCACGTGCCATCCGCTGGGTGACTGGCCCGGGGAACCTTCCACAAGGGGGACAGACTGGGCAATGGTGGGAACTGCAAACTGCAGATGCCCAGGGTCTTACCTTGCACCGGTCTATCGCGTGCTTCAGAAGGAGCCTCCTGTAGCTGTTCCCAGGGCGTGATGTGGATTCACCTCCTCCTCTCTCCTGCAAATACACAGAGGGGAGATTTAGTGGGTAGGGGCATGAGGCCGGTAAGTGACGTGGGGTATTAACTCTGCCCTTCTCATGATTTGAAACAAGGCAGGCTTTGATTACACCCTGGCATGCCGATTTGGTACGAATTCTTCCTCCTGGCAAGCTGATGGCAGCCTCTGAGGCTTTCCCAGAAGAAGGGGAATTGCTGCTATAGCTTTGCCCTGCTCTCAAATTGATTCTCTCATTGGCAGTGCCTTAAGCACTGCTGCACAGGGGCAGCAGGCACCCAGGCAGGGACCCCGGAGCTGCACACGCTGAGCTGCCCTCTCTCCATTTCCTTCTCTCAGCCTATCATAGAATCACAGAATCACAGGTTGGAAGGAACCTCAAGGATCACCTGGTCCAACCTTTCTGGGCAAGAGCCCAGCCCAGACAAGATGGCCCAGCACCCTGTCCAGCTGAGGCTTGGAAATGTCCAATGTGGCGGAGTCAAGCCCTCCCCTGGGGAGATTATTCCAATGGATGACTGTTCTCATGGGGAAACATTTTCCTCTCATGTCCTGTTGGAATCTTCTCAGGATCAACTTGTACCCATTCCCCCTTATCTTTTCCATGTGACTCCTTATGAAAAGGGAGTCTCCATCTTCCCTGTAGCCACCCTTTAGCTACTGGTACGTGGTGACAAGATTCCCTCTGAGCCTCCTCTGCTCAGGGCTGGACAAACCCAGCCCTCAGCCCATGCCATCCATCCCTCAGGATTAGCCTGCACTTCCCTTTGCCCTCCTGGCAAACCGCTCACCTCAGCTCACTGCTGTTCACCAGCACTGGCCACAGCCCCCTGCACTAGCGCAGACCCTCTGGAAGGGGCTAATGCCGGTGTGGCCACAGCCCGCCGCTGGGGGGGG